CAAGATGAACTGGCCGCACGGGAGGAAGGGACTACTGATATTTAGGGGCGGAGCCTAACCGCGAGCAGGGGCTGCTGTTAATGCTGCACATGGAGAAATCCCAGCACCTCCACCTACCAGGCTCCAGGGAAGGACTTCAATGAATCCACTCCTCCAGCCCACACTGTAAGTAAGTATGAGTGTGTGTGTGTGTGTGTAACTGCCTGAAACTGTGTGTGTGTGTGTGTGAGACTGTCTGTCTGTAACTGTGTGTGTGTGTGACTGTCTGTAACTGTGTGTGTGTGACTTTCTGTCACACACTGTGTGTGTGTGTGTGTGTGTGTGCGTGACTGTCTGTAACTGTGTGTGTGTGACTGTCTGTAACTGTGTGTTTGTGTGTGTGTGTGACTGTCTGTCTGTAACTGTGTGTGTGTGAGACTGTCTGTAACTGTGTGTGTGACTGTCTGTCTTGTGTGTGTCTGTAACTGTGTGTGTGTGTAACTGTCTGTCTGTAACTGTGTGTGCGTAACTGTCTACCTGTAACTATGTGTGTAACGGTCTGCCTGTAACTGTGTGTATGTGCGTAACTGTCTACCTGTAACTGTGTGTGTGTAACTATCTACCTGTAACTGTGTATGTGTGTGTGACTGTCTGCATGTAACTTTGTGCGTGACTGCCTGTAACTGACTGTGTGTGTAACTGCCTGTAACTGTGTGTGTTTGTGGCTGTAACTATGTGTATGACTGTCTGCCTGTGACCGTGTGTGACTGTATATGTGACTGTCTGCATGTAACAGTGTGCATGACTGTGTGTAACTGCTTGTAACTGACTGTGTGTGTGTGTGTAACTCTCTACCTGTAACTGTGTGTACGACTGCCTGTGACTATATGTGTGACTGTCTGCATGTGACTGTGTGCGTGTGACTGTCTTCTTGTAACTGTGTGTGTCTGTCTGTCTGTAACTGTGTGTGAGGGTATGCAGGGATTTTGTAGAGGGGGGCAGGGGGTTTTAAAAAGTTTACAAATTTGTTCAATAAATGTTTTTTAAAATGTAAAAAATATAACACATTTTAAAAATGTAGTAGTTTTTTTTTTTTTGGAGAAGGGGGCGGGGGGGGGTGCCAAACCCAGGACCTGCCCCGGGTGCCACATGCCCTAGGTATGCCCCTGCCTTGTTGTCATACCCATTCATACCGTCAGTTGGAGCTCTGATAGGGTAAAAGCAGTCAGCTGACACTCTCAACCAATCACTGCTGCCCATTACTGCTCAGGCCAAGGCTGGTGGACCGTTGGCACCTCGGGCCGGGGAGACATTTGGGTGACCTGCGGCTGCAGGGAGAGCTTGGATGGCGGCTGCAGGGGAGCTGGCTGTTCTGTCTCTGCTCCCCCGCCCTTGCGCGCTACTTAATAAGACCGGGGGCGGAATATGACGTCATCTTCCGGCCCCGGTCTCATTATGCTGCGCGCTGGGGAGCAGAGACAGAACACACAGCTTCCCCTGCGGCCGTCAGCACACCCATCTGTCTGCCTACAGGTAGCAACAATTATGTATGTCAGTCTGTCAGTGGGAGTGTATGTGTGTGTGACTGTTCGGGAGTTCGAAGAACCAATGTTTAAAGTCCCAATAGGCACAATTAGGGTCTCTCTGCCGAAATAAATAAAAGGGGCCATAGTCACAGGGTAAAAGGCTGGCAAGTAGTCCTCTCCAAAGCCCAGTGGCTTTCGTCACATATCGCAAATATCGTCGTGACTGCGAGCCGCAAGCCGTCACTGCACAGCTCATCCTGTGTGTGTGTCTGTCTGTCATGGTGTGTGTGTGTGTCTGTCTGTCATGGTGTGTGTGTCTGTGTCGTGGCATGTGTGTGTCTGTCTGTGTCGTGGCATGTGTGTGTCTGTCTGTCGTGTGTGTGTGTGTCTGTCTGTGTCATGGTGTGTGAGTGTCTTTGTCATGGTGTGTCTGTCTGTGTCGTGGTGTGTCGTGGTGTGTGTGTCTGTGTCATGGTGTGTGTGTGTCTGTCTGTGTCACGGTGTGTGTGTGTCTGTGTCACGGTGTGTCTGTATCATGGTGTGTGTGTGTCTGTCTGTGTCATGGTGTGTCTGTCATGATATATGTGTGTGTCAAAGTGTGTGTGTCTGTCATGGTGTGTGTGTGTCTGTCATGGTATATGTATGTGTCATGGGGTGTGTGTCTGTCATGGTGTATGTGTGTGTCTGTGTGTGTTTTTTAAAAATAGTGGTTTTTTTTCCCCCAACGTCGTGCTGGTCTCCCCTCAACTGGCCCTGCCTCTATGACTGAGATCATCAAGCTTGATGATCTCAGCCAATCCGCACTGACACAGCAAGCGCCTCTAGTGACCGTCTCAGTGTCTGTCACTAGAGGTGTTACTAGGAAGCAATGCAAACACTGCCTTTTCTCTGAAAAGTCAGTGTTTACATTGAAAAGCCTGCAGGGACACGCTATAGACACCAGAACCACTACATTAAGCTGTGTGTGTGTGTGTGTGTGTGCCTGCTAGTGAGTGAGCTTGCTTGCATGTGTGTGTGCCTGCTAGTGAGTGAGCTTGTGTTTTTATGTCAATGAGCTTATGTATATCAGTGAGATTGTTTGTCTATGAGGCTGTGTATCAATGAGCTTGTGTGTGTCAGTGAGATTGTCTGTGTCTGCATGTGAGTATGCTTACTGTATAATTAAACGATTTACTCTGAAAGGACCAATATTTTACATTAGAAAAAGCAATATATATTTGAGATATATATATATATATATATATATATATATATATATATATATATATTATACACAAATATAGGGAACAAGAGGCAAGCACTCACGGTCTTTTGATCTCTTTAAAACGATTTTCCTTTATTTCATTGCTTAAAACTTGATCGACGTTTCAGCCACAATACATGGCTTTCATCAGGATCTTTACAGCTCTAACTTTGTAAAGATCCTGATGAAAGCCATGTATTGTGGCTGAAACGTCGATCAAGTTTTAAGCAATGAAATAAAGGAAAATAGTTTTAAAGAGATCAAAAGACCGTGAGTGCTTGCCTCTTGTTCCCTATATTTGTGTATATTTTGGCATTGGCTTGATAGCACCAGGCAGAAATTTATATTGAAGTGTGTGTGCAAGGAGACGACAGGACTTTATATATAATATATATATATATATATATATATATATATATATATATTACTCAATCATCTGGGGTGGCAAGACATAGCCTTACATATTACATGCGACAATATATGGCGCAATGACTTATGGGGCCTGCATAGATTTTTTTCCCAGGGCTGCTTTGTATCCCCAGTCCGGCCCTGGCTCAGGCTAAGACTTCCTTATTAGCCAAAGCAGCACAGAGTGGATGGACTGCTGGGGACTCTTGTTTAGCATTAAAACATTAAAAACTGTTTAATGCTGAAAGAAATTATGGTACCGGGGGCTCCAGAAACTATAACCAGTTTAATGAGATGAGGCAGATACAGTGCCTACGGTGTCCCTTTAACACTTATTCATAACCCCTTATTAAGAGTGAATTTCAGACAGAAGAGGCTCATCCATGATTAGTGTATTCATGGATTTAAAATAATCACTCTTGGTATAGCTGCAGGCTAAATATGATATTGCAGAAGTACAAGCAACTACAAATTGTCAGGTAATCCTAAAAGCCTTTCGTACCTTTACTAAGATAATATTGTGCAGTACTCTACCTCCCTTTTGTATTAAGTAATACTGTTAAAATTAAAGAGACACTTCAAACACCATAACCACTCCACTCTGCCTGCTGCAGTGGTTGTGGTGCTAGGTGTGCCCTGGTGCTATCCTATGGTAAAATGTCAAACCATTTTAATATAGTTTGACAACTTACCTATGTCCTGTTGGGTACCCATACCACATATGACCTTTTCCAGAAGTAGAAACCAGATGTAATTTTAAAGCAAATCATGACCGATGCAGGAACGCGAACAGTGGCTCAGAGCGCTCTGCTGACGCTCTTAACCGATGCTCTTAGTCAGTGAGCGAGGTCCTGCTTTGCTCTAAAGTAACATCTGGCTTGTCCTGCTGGAGAAACCTAGATGTGGATAAAACAACCGTTTGACGTTTTCCTCACCATGGGAAGTCACCAGGGGAAATCCTGACACCATAACCACTACAGAAGGCTTGGAATGCCCATTTCATGTAAGAATCCTGATCTACAGGATTGATGCTTTGGATCAGCTCTATTGAGAAAGAGCGCTAGATAATATGTTCACTGATTTACTGGGGCTCTGCACTGTGCTCAGAAATCACCCTCCTCCTCATATTAATTGTTAACACACCAGTGTTAACCTTCTCCAGAACTCTGCCAAAAACAGCCATCCAGACTTTGACTCCGAGATTGCAACAGTTTTAATTCTACATTATCAATCTGGCCAAAGAGGGGGACAGATAGGGTCGCCACGGGGAGCAGAACATGAAATGGAGGTTGGCACAGACTCTTGGAACCATAACCACTATAAACTGGGTAAAATCGCTGTGTGTCTCTTTGAACTATACAACTTTCACTTACTGTATATAACACACGCATAACAGGGTTATTTAAAGCCAAAGTAGTGGAACTGAAAGCGTAGCTTGACTAGATTTTGGAGAATTCTTCCCGGTTCGCCTATTTAGACTTTAAAATTGAATTTCACTTTGAATTCTCGCTTTAGTGAATAACTCCCTGATAGAGCTGACCTGGTGGGACCCTAGCACATAACTATGTAAGGGGCAGTAAGATAACCCCGCCCCTTCTCTCAATCAGACTGCTAGCCACGCCCCAACACACGCTGAGGCTGATAGCCCCGCCCCATCACACACTCCGACTCCTGTCTCCCGCAAGCACAGTCACACCGAGACCAGACGATCACGTGGAAGCGCTCGCTCCCCATTGGCTCGCCTCATTCGCCGGCTTTCCGCTGATTGGCTGCGGCCCGCCGTTCACGTGAAGCACTGAGTGGGATGGAACGCCGGCTCCTTTAACAATGAGACAGCTGTGTGAGCCGGCAGTGGGCTGGGATCTTCGAACAGAGCGGGAGCGGACAGCCAGCATGACCCAGCCCGCTACCACCAGCCAGCACAGCGTCCCATGGCAGCCGCGCTCCGGTCTGTTCGTAGTCTGACACCTGGGCCAGGTATGCCGCACTCCGCCACCGGCGATATGTAGTAACAGGCGGCGTGCAGTCACTATTAAATGCAGCTCTCATTGAGATCATCACCGGGAGCTGTCTGGGGCACCTTGATCGCCCTCTCTATAATGGGGTCAGTCTGGGCGAGCCGGGTGTGTGATCCCCTCCGGCAATGGACTATTCGAGCTCAGTGCTGTCCCTTTAATAACAGCATGTGTTCACAGTGTACCCTACCGGGGTTTCTTTATCCCTGGCTATTATTTATTAAAGGCTCAGATAGTGTACATTTAGCTCTGCAGGGTGTCCGGAGTATTAAATGGGTCACTTTGCCCTCTGTCAGCAGTAAATCCCTGGGTTTCCTTAACATTCTATAGTTCTAGAACGTTCAAACCAGCGGAAGAATGCGGCTTCCATAGAGTTCTGTGTTAGCCTAGATTGTGTGCTGTGTGAATATACACGGGGACCAGAGGATTTATGGGTTTTAATGCTCCTCAAATTGGCTGTAGTGTAAGCACGTGTCCGTATTGGGCTGGTTACTAATGTCTGCTACAGTTTTACACGAATTGCATGTTTTATATTGATATATGATGAATGTAAACCACCTTAGTAGTGGGTCTAAAACGAATCCTCAAGCAACAAGTATTCCTGCCCTCCCTCCCCCACTATATCGATGTGATGCAGGTAGTATTCCAAAAACTTTTTTATTTTTTATAGCCATGTCTTCGATAATCTAAAGCCAAAAAAAAATGCTTTTACATTTTTATTTTTTGCTTGCTTTAGTGCCTTCTAGTTTTTTTTTTTTTTTTCACTTTGATGTAATTAATTCTGACATAAAGTAACCTATAAAATCCTAGGGTAGATGAAACTCTTTCAATGTTTCTATAAATACTTTCCATCAATTTTAGATTTAAAGCTTGTGGCAGATGAAACTCATTAGATCTTACTGACATTCCACAGGTGTGGTGAATTTATATATATTCTTTTTATTTTTTTTTACCCCTTCTCATCTCTCAGAAATTACATATAGGACATGGCTTAACAAATCTCCAATGCAATTAATGATCTGAAACTTAAAGGCACGGCCTATTGTATTGGTTGTGGTGCAAGGTTCTTTGGACGCAGTCCCTCCAGTTTATGTCCATCCATTGGAAATATTGCAACTCTCCCTGTATACTTTGCTGTCACTACGATAATAAGGAATTTCACTTCTTAATTTGTCCAAATGTGGATAGCAATGCATCTAAAGCTGACCTATGTGCACTTTCATTGTGCAGAGATTAGCTCCCCTGTGGTGCTATTGATAGGAAGCCTGAAGGTGAATTTTGGGTGTGATATCATGGGAACAAGGCAACTAGAGTGAGCAAGGGACATGCTGCAGACAGGAAACTGCTGCTCCTTTAAAATACTGGACAGGGAAAGTAGGTTATGAGTGGCCTCAGGGTGTCTAACAATGGCTTTTTTTTGTTTTTTTTTTTTTTTTTTAATAAACTCTATGACCCGTATTGTAAAAATCTGAAATAAAAGGCTGGAGGATCAGTGGCTTCAGTTGCAAGGGAGCAGCAAAAAGAGGGCTGCAAAGACCTCTTATAAGAATTGCAGATCTTCAGAGGTCTGAAAGTAATGCAACATAGTGGAACATAAAGCTCCCAGACCAAAATGGGTCATTTGGGGAGGTATGATTTTCCCCAGTTGGCCCAGAGCACAAGTGAGTTTGTGTCCTGCACCTCCAGCAAGTGCAGTCAGACCACTAGTGACTGTCCCTGTTCTGATGCTTTTCAATGACTGTGTTGCCATGGGTTTTCATGGTAACAATGTCTTACTGGAATTCACCAGACCAGAGAGGGAGAAATTATCTGCACCCACAGACGTGCAAACTCCACCAGAGTGACCAATATTTGATTGTCTCCTAGGCAAAGGTAGGAAAGCGGGAGTTGTGCATTTAAAAAAAAAAAAAAACTATTATTCTCTATCCCCTCAACACTGCTGCAAACACATGCCTACACAACCATACAAGCAGTCTACCCTCAAACATGACCAAAAACCGCTTACACATGCACACTTAAGCCTACAGGCAATACGCACTCAATACCACAGACAGCCTACACTACACACATACTACAAGCAACTTGCATACACACACTTAAAGGAGTATTGTAGGTGCTATAACCATTTCATCTTATTGAATTGGTTATAGTGCCTGGAGTCCTCTGATGTCCCTCTATTCAGTGTTTAAACCAATTTTGAGTAGCTGAACACTAAACCGGTAGTATACAAACAGTCCACATGCACACACATACATTAAACAAGCTGTCCGTGAACACGCATAGCCCAACAATGCCACAAACAGACCAAAACTCAAAAAAAATAAAAATAAATTTTACAACAGGGGGTGGGGAACCTTCAGCCCTCCAGATGTTTTTAACTACATTTCCCATATTGCTGGCAAAGCATCAAGGGAGATGTAGTCCAAAACATCTGGGAGGCCAAAGGTTCCCCACCCCTGATTTACATCACGCTTTGTCTACATGCAGCCAATAGTCAATTCATGGCACAGGCAGAACTCTTTAACATTAATAAATGTTTCTGTAAAAAGAAAACCTCTAACTTAACCCCTTTAGGACACATGACATGTGACATGTCATGATTTCCCTTTTATTCCAGAAGTTTGGTCCTTAAGGGGTTAAAGGGACATTATGGCCCCCTAGACAATTTCATCTTGGTGAAGTGTCCCTGTTCTTTTTAACCCTGCAATGTAAAACTCGTTCATGTAATGTGGACTGCCACATAGTAAATAGTTGATGCTATGCTTTCTTATGGGCACGTTTGGATGCTCCTCTGAAGAACATTGGAGCGTGCCGAAGGATGCCATCCCTCCTCTGTGAAGTCACTGAAGAATTAAGCAGAATTGAGGGGAGCATTTTAAGGGACAGCAACACTAGGGTTAGGAATACAGACTGGATTTTTAGGAATCCAAAAGGTTACTGAAACCAGAGATATTGGTGACAGGGAGTCAAGATGGAGGTGCATGGTAAAGAGTTGTGGATTTCTAGATTAAATTTTTACCATCTCACAAATGCATATTAAATATTTTGATAAGTCCCACTTGTTTTTCAGCCATAAAAGATCTCTTAACTCTTCCTAACCTTAAAACTGTGCGTTAGATGTAGTAGAATATTTGCACAGTGCTCTAATATCTCATGTTACAATTTTAGTGCCTGAAGTGGGGCAATCATTGTGGAACCAGCAGACTATTATGCCAGCAAATTCCATAGCGCTGTACAATGGGTGATTAGTGATTATCCACTTTAATTTTTTGCACCACAGTTTACGTGACATTTCTAAATTGGCAAAGCATATGCTTAACCTTGAGGGTCTTGTAGATGTGTCACTCTTTCCTAAACCTATGTGTTGAATTCTGAAGGTTAAAGGGGCACTCCGGGCACCAAAACTGCTTTATCTAAACTAGGTTGATATGGAGCTAGAAGAATAAAATTTCAGTGGGTAAATGGGGAGTTGGCAGTACGGAGGGGCAATTTTAATTCCTGTTCCCATACAGAAGTGAAGTGTGCCCTTTTCTTTCAATAGGCTGCTCTTGCATGGTGGTCTTATCGCTAAACACTTAAATGAGCTATAAATACAGACATGATTAAGTGACCTCTAGGTGAAAATTGGCAACTGTTCTTTTCGTCCGACATAGTTTAAAGCTATTTCAGTCTTTATCCGGCTTGGAAAGGTTGACCTTTTCATGAGTTCCTAGTTCTCCTGTATTGATGACTGCTACATTTGTAGGCCTGAGTTTCACTGACCAAGTCCTCCACTTACCATGCTTGGAGTAAGTGGGTGGTAATTTAGAATGTTGCAGCTTTTTGCCACTCTAGACCAGATTATGTCTGCTCAAAAGTGCTTAACATTAAGGAATTTAAAAGTACATTCCAGACCCCCTAAACCACTTTCGCTTGCTTGAAATATGCTCTTTTTTTTTCTTTTTACAGATTTTATTAGATATTGGAACTTTTGTAAATTAACTTGGTTACACCTCTGGCTGTCAATCAGGCAACGTGGCCTGTTTCTTGGTTTGGTTAGCCTAGTGGAGCTAAACTTAAGAGGCAGCAATTGCCCAGAGCACCTGCCTAGCAAAGAATTCTCATTGAGCTCTATTGGGAAGATGATTGTAGTTTTTGCAAGCTGTTTAGAGAGAACCCCTATGAAAATATGCATAAATAAATGCATGCTTGTTTTGATTTAGGTATGTCTACTTAACAGTGGTGTGTGTGTGTGTGTGTGGGTTTTTTTTCTGTTTGGGTAGTGGCCGGTTTCTTGAATAAATAACATCAGTTAAAGGAACGTTCTTACAAACCCATTTTATTTCCCCTCCTGATATTTCTCTTTTAAAATCACAGTGAAGGATGAGAAAGTCCAGTGCTTCTCATATAGAAGCATTGGGGACCTACGGCGCATGTGGAGCAACTATCATGCTCTTACAAGTCAGATGCATCTAATAGAAAAGCATTGAATTTTTTTAAATTAAAAAAAAAAAAAAAAACTTTTTTTTTTATGGGTTTGGCTATATTCAACGTGAAGATTTTCAACCGTTGAAAGTCTTGACCTAGCAATTGCCTTAGTCGGACAGCTGCCAGAGGCATATTTAAGGCCAAATGTATCCACTACCAATTCTCTGAAATGGCACTACTTTACATTGCCAGATCTAGGCACCCAGACCACTTCAGCTTAATGAAGTGGTCTGGGTGCCAGGTCCTTCTAGGATTAACTTTTTTTATTTAAACATAGCAGTTTAAACTGCTATGTTTATAATAGGGTTAATCCAGCCTCTAAAGCCTCAAGTGGCTGTCTCATTGACAGCCGCTAGAGGCGTTTGCATGATTCTCACAGTGAAAATCAGAGAAGACTCCAGCATCCATAGGAAAGCATTATGAATGCTTTCCTATGAGACTGACTGCACGCGCAGCTCCTGCCGCGCATTCAGTCGAAGAGGAGGAGAGCTCCCCGCCTGGCGCGGGGGGGGGAAAAAGGTAAGATTTAACCCTTTCCTCGCCATCCAGCCTGGTGGGAGTGGGACCCTGAGGGTGGGGGCACCCTCAGGGCACTATAGTGCCAGGAAAACAAGTTTTCCTGGCACTATAGTGGTCCTTTAAGCTAAAAAGGTTTGTTTCCCTTTTTAAAAACACCCAGTTTTCAGGGAGGACTGGAAGTCTATTTTGAGCTCTGTGAGTTTCCACTTGTGACAGCTATTGGTATAAGTTTACCAGATACTTGAAGATTTTATGAAAGTCTCATGTACTTAAAAAGCGGTGCAGAGTTCTAAAAGTGGCACAATCCCCAAACTAATGGAAACTGCAGCAATTTTCCATTTGCAATTACTCTGACAACTTTGCACTGCTTTTTAGAACACAGCAGTCTGCTAAATCTTTCTCAGTGTTTTTAGAAAAAGTTAAGGAATGCATTGCCCATTATTAATTGAATAAATCCAGAGAAACACAAACGTATTTACCTATACGAGCACTGCATGCATACACACACCTAATAAATACTATAGTATTTTTTTTATTTTTCTTTCCCATAGTCTGCTACTTTTGCTTTTCATTTCGTATTTAAATTACAACTGTTTAGTGAAATACATTCTGTTGGTGTTCATTCACAAGTATTGTGGCAGGTAACAAGTTTTCAGGCCTCGTTAATAGGTGATATCTTAAAGTATTCAGCGCTGCATCGTACTCTCCTCATTTGTTGGGGAGGAGAAACACTACAGCCCAAAATTTCTATCTATTGTAGGCAAGGAACGTTAGGTACATCAGAGAAGAAGGGCCAGACTTCAGGTGTCCATAAGATGTTTATACACTTACCAAGAGATGTCTCCAGGCTGCTGCTACAATAACAAATAGTTCTTTGCTATATGGCAGTTAAATCACTTATCTTGGGCATGACTCATGCAGGATCCATGAAAAAGGCTTAATTTTTACAATTTTCTATACACACCACTTCCACCACCCCTTTTTTTTGGCCCTAGCAGACAATAAAAAACAAAACAAAAAAAAACAGGAGATGTATTCTAAAAAATTAAACAAACTGTGCAATTCTCGTTTCAGAAAGTGTATATACAGAAACATTGTGTCTTAGCCAGGGGAAGTGTGGCTATTGCTACATAGACAAGCAAGTGATTTAACTCCTAAATTGTTGGGGAAACTTCAGGGACATGATCTATGAATTCATGTATGCTTGTAACATTGATGATTTTTGTAGTGCATGTTACTTTAATTACACTTCTTATTCTGCATCCATATGTATTAAGACAATGTAAGAATTTCCACTAGATGGCAGTATGTTTCCTCTGAAATCTAAAACTATGAACTAATCTGCCACATTCACATCCAACTCTCTACCAAAGGGGGTGTGATCCGTGTGTACGTGCAAGTTTTTAATTTCCTCTTATTTCATTTTTAGACAAAAGACTACTAGACAATTTTCTGTACATCAAGAATCTGTTTTCTTCTTCGCGTCTGCTGTTCAATTGTGTTAAATGCCCTGGATTGTGACACCGATGAGTTCAACCAGGTAAGCATTCTAAAAATTGTATTTTATTTTTCTTATCTTTCCTATCATTCTCCCAGCCACTTGAAGCTTTACACTTCATACATTTTTATCCCTCCTCAAGTCGTCTTCGGGTTTATCAAATAACATGCTGTTGCGTTCTGTGTCTAGTCTTGTAGCTCCAACTTCCTGGATACAGTTGCATATAGGCACAGTAATGTGGACAACTTATAGCGTCCTGACGTTTGTGCAGCCTACAAAGGATTGAGCATAGTGTAGGTTTATTCTAAACTTTGAGGGGGCTATTCAACATCTACTGTAATGTCTTCTTAATCCATGAAGTTGTTCACTCACTATAGAAGTCCTAATCTGCTGGCTAAATGTATCCCTTAGCAGTTACAGCAGAATTGGTGATAATTATTTAATACCGCATGCAAAAATTTAAAGCATTTATATATTATAAAATAAAAAAAATTTGTATTCTTTTGAAACTGCTATTCATTGATGTATGTAGGAGTTAAGATTTCTTGGCCAGTGCTTTGGGTCGGTTGAGTCATTATTTTTTTTTATAATTTTAAAGTCTGTTATACCCACCCTCTTTTAATGTATGCAGTTAGTAGATTTCTTTTCAAAGTTTTTGGCAACATCCTTCCTGCACATACCAACAGTTATTTACTAAAAATTTTTTTTATTTTTACATTCTATTTTCTGTTGGTGTCTATTAGCCAGCAGCCTTAGACTATATACTCGGTTGAACCTAGTACCCTCTCTTAGATTATGCTTTCACAACAATTCAAAAGGTGTAGTTTTGATGTATGCATTTACTGATTGCCTCTATAAATTAGTCTTGCCAAAAAGGGAACATTATCCCAATATCGGTGGGTCCTACACTAATTCCAACGTGGGAGACAAATTAAATAGTACTATATATGCAGAAGTGTATTTCAATAAATCTGTTGTAAGAGCATTGTGTATCTATCTCTCAAAACTAATGTGATAAACAAAATGCAGTGCCAAAAAATTAAACAATTAACGTGATTGTGCATTGTAGATCTACTCACAATGCATATCATATCTGCTCTATGAAAATAATTAAAGTGACATTACTATTCAAAACCTCCTCTAATTTATACTTTCCTGTGGTCACCTCCAAAGGGGTCTCTGTAGCTGGGGGTCCTGAGTAGGGTGCTCAACTGGTGGTCTGGATTCCAAACTTGCTTGGTAAAGACAAGGGAATTAGGGGCACACCGAGAACTTGCATATCGCAGGAATGATGCTGTGGTAGTGACTAAAATGTGTACATCCGATTTTAAGGATGAGCATGTACATAAAAAAATGTTAGTATGTGTGCGCTGTTCCTTAATCTGTATCTGTAAGTTAGTCTTGTCCTTTACAGGGATAACTTTACAAATTAGGCCTTCTTTTTCAGCAAATATCAAACCAATTCTTGGTATTGAATGCCTTGTTTCTCCAGTTCTGACTTTTTTTTTTTTCTATGTTTAAAATATTAAACAAAAGTATGACCTGTTCATAGCTTAATATATATCACCTCACACACATAGTTTTCTATTGTAGTCAAGAGGTCATAAGAGAGCTGGAATTATTTTAGCTTGTAGTAAGATTCTTTGCTTAACAAAAGTCAGAACTACCACTGTCAAGTTAACCTCCTGTCACAGTGACTGCTGTAGGAATAGGGTACCTGTCTCGCTCAATTACAAGATAATCTGGATGGAGAGGATCGCATGTTCCACCATAGACATTAGTGTTCTGTCACAGATGTGCAACAGTGGGCACCATGAAGTGAAGAAGATGGTGGGGGACCATACAATAGCTGCAACCTGGGGCCCAAGCGGCAATATTCACATCAAAAGGGGAGGGGGTATTGGCAAAATATGCCAAGACACAGACCTTGACAGAGATGAAGTAACAATGTATAAATTGAATAATAGTGCCTTAAACATTAATTGCAAAAAACAACCAATAGGCTTATGGCAGTGGACTGGAATCCTATTTGGATACTTAATTGCAATGTTATTCCATCACTGTGATATTTGAATGGTGCATTGTGTTAGTTTAGCCCTCTGATGCCAGGGGTGTTTTTGGAAGTGAATGGCTACAAATCACAAGGAAACTTATTCCAAACTGATACTCCATGGTGATAACCTGTGATACATGGAGATGCATAGTAACTCCTTATGATCCTGGGGTGGGGGTGTGTGTGTGTGTGTGTGTGTGTTTTCTTTGTTCTCCCGGAAATCCTATACAGCTGTAAACCTTGATTTGCAACACGGATCGATGACATTCTCTGAAGTATTATAAATCCATTTTCACATTACAGGCATATGCCAGTGAGTGCAGGGTAAGGTGACCTCCATGAGTGTGCCTTGTGCCCGAGGTAGCAGTACAATACGACAAAGGAAAGTTAATGCAGTTCCGTGTTGATGTGGAACTGGGCTGAACAGCTGGCAAAGTGCTGGCTTACTGATTGACTTTAGTGATTAGGAAGTTGCACTCTAAATTGCATGTTTTGTCTGCTTGTAAACTTTTGTGCCATTTGCTCTGAGATCCACTATATTCTTAATCTTCTTATTGTGTAGCTTTTTCAAACAATGTGTCACGACTCTTAGAAAAGTAAAATAATCACTGCAGACTATGTACAGTGGTAGCAGGAAATTCCTGTTTAGCGCTAACCCGAGGGAACACTGCATGTTGCATGGCATCTTGCCATCTTTGTTCCATGGCCTACTTCTTATTTTCCTCTCATCATACCTCGACCCAAAGCAAACCAGTAACAGTGTGTGTTTGTATTTTCTATATGCAGAGCCTTTTAGCCAATTGCTTGATTGCTAGAGGGGCAATTAGAGGATTAAAAGCCTAGACCGTTGGCCTGAATAATGGAGTGACCTTCTAAGGGTAAACGTGCCCAGAAGCAGAACACTATTCTGTGGGGATAAAACAAAATACAAACTTTGGATCCGTTCTAAAAGACAATTGTGGAGAATTGGCAAATGTTGCAAAATATAGGCTAGAGCAGGGGTGCCAAATAGGTAAATCCCAATGTTTTAATCTACCGCTGCCATGATGTTTTGACATTCTATTTTATTTTTTTTTATAATTTTTTTTTTATTTTTGAAGTTCGTTTTTAGATGGTGCAAACAGGTTTGAGTTGCCCCAAGAGCAGTCCTCAGACAATTTCCTCGCGCAACATGCGGGACATATGAGTAACATGCACAATTAAGGTATAGAGTAAGTGTATATAGTAAACAAGCTTGAGCAGTACAGTAGCTAGTCTATGATTGATACAGGTAATGCTGGTTTGCAACGCTAATTACCTTTACCGGCTAGTGCTATTAAAGCATAAAATGACATTCATGCTAGGTCTCATGCGATTACTTTAGAAAAGTTGGTGTTGTCTACAGTAAGGCTACTTTAACTAAAGCAAATGGTCACACCGGTTAGTTTAGCTGACATTCTAAAAGCATGAACGGCATCATGGGAGTTGTAGTTCTACTACAAAACCTGGGGATCTACCTTTTGGACACCTGAGTTGGAATAACTTAAAAGTGCAACTCCTGATTAAACTCTACACATTTCCCAATTTAGGTTGTGAGGTGGAGATGGATTTGCCTCCTCTTCCCCTTCCCCCCCCCCCCAATGCTTTGAGTTGCATCTTGCACTGTGACATTACCCTTAGATTTACATATGGTAGATATGTTCTGTGTGTACTTCGATGATTGACCAATGATGTCAAATTTGGATGTTTTGTATGCAGGCTAAACATTTCTAAAAGCCATTGGCAAGTGAAAATTTAGCCCTGCATGGTATTCTATGACTTGCAGTGGCAAGTACCTTTTTAATACCTGCCTTATAGCATAGAAAATACAAAATTTGAGCCACAGTTTATGCATTTTTGTCATCAGAGATAAATTAACAGAGCAAGCTTGTCAAATTCTTTACAAACTTGTCTCTCCTTCAGTTTGCTTTCCCTTGCCTTCTATTGCTGACTTAAGAACCTGCAGCAATATTTCCAGGACTCTATAAAGTCCTGGTTTATTAAATTGTTATACATTCATTTTAGGGTCACTGTGCTTGATATGTTAAATGGAAATTGTCACTACTTCAGAATCAAACCATGTTGAAAATCACCTGTACTTTATAAATTTTTTTTTTCTACTTTAAATTTTATATTAAAGATCTAGACAGGGCAGATATTGGAAATGAGGGAACAAATTGAGACTTTGTTTTAGTTATCGCCTACTCTGTGTTAATTACCATGAGCAAAGTATAGAACTGCTAGCATGTTTCACAGAGGGCTAAGATGGAACCCAGTTTCAGGATAAAGATGCATTGAATTTTTTTTGTTTTTTTATGTTCACACCTCACATTTGTTAAATATTATATAAGTTATCTAATGTATTGAAAATCTTGGAGGGATTAGTCCCACTTTTTAAAGATTAATATACATGTGAAATGTCCTACTTTAGAATTAATTTTTATATTTCTTTCTTCCAGTTTTCTGGATTTATTTCCACATAAGACTATGGCTGTGGATATAGCGATGAAATTTTATTTGCAATCCCCACCTCTCAGAAGAGAACGTGTCGAATGTAGAATTTCTCAAAAAAGCAACAAGCCTTTGAGGTCGTGCATCCAGACGAACAGCAAAATGATCATTAATGAGCGAAACCACAAAGAAAGTAAAGGGAAAAAACGTGTCACGTTTGCAGATAGCCGAGGCCTTGCCCTTACTATGGTGAAGGTATATTCAGAGCTTGATGACCAATTTGAAATTCCATTTAACATCACAGAACTGATAGATAATATTGTCAACTTGACAACCGTGGAGAAAGAACGTCTTGTGCTGGACTTCGTACAACCTTCTGCTGACTACTTGGACTTCAGGAACCGTTTAAATGCTGATTTTGTTTGTCTAGAGAACTGTATGCTTAAAGAAAAGGCTCTGGTAGGCACCGTGAAGGTCAAAAATCTTGCTTTCCAGAAAAGCGTGAAAATAAGGATGACCTTTAATTCTTGGCAAACCTTTACTGACTATGAGTGCGAGTATGTCAAGGACACATATGCTGGTTCCGATAGAGACACTTTCTCCTTTGATATAAGTCTACCAGAGAACGTTCAGTTGCATGAGCGGATAGAATTTGCAATTTGCTTTGAGTGTGAAGGAAAAACCTACTGGGACAGCAACAAAGGACAAAATTACAGAATCATTTGGCCTAACCTCAAAAGGCTGCCTGACTTTCAGAGCAACCATTCTGAACCGGATTATAACCTTTCTCTCGATCAGTTTGGAAGCCCAAGGTGTTCTTATGGAATATTTCCAGAATGGCCCAGCTACTCTGGGTTTGATAAGCTAGGACCTTACTATTAACTTGGTATCCAAAGAAATCAAGGTTAACCAACTGAAATGGCCTCTAATCCCAAAATGGTAGAATGGGGATGTGAATGTGTCCCTATTGGGACTAGCTGTAAGCCACAAACATGGAGAACCTACAATAGGTCATGATGCATACTTGCATTAGATTTTTCCTGTTAAGGGATATATTGTCCTATAACTCAATATTGAAAGTAGCACCTTTTTTTTGGTATCCAATGTATACAGAATGAATCTGTGAAGAAAAATTTTCTCATCAGTGCTGCGGTCTTTCCTTTCTAAAGCTGCTATACCTTCAAACTCTAAAGACCCTGCCCTACACACTCTTGTGCTTTTTGTTTTTGTGGTTTTTTTTTTTTTTCGTCTTTAAATACTTTAGTCGGGATGTTACCTTTCATTCTCCATATATACATGAATGTCTGTAAATTCTTAATCCGCCATCTGTTCTCAGGAAAAGTATCCCTAGTCTCTTGCTAAAATGAAGGGGGATGAGGAATTCGGTCTTGTTGATGGGACTAAATGTTTATATAATTTTTATTTATTTTTTCCCTTTCTTCTGCACTGCTTCACATTAAGGTCACTTTTACATGAAGCCATGTCAGGTATTCAGACATTAAACCATTCTATCTAGATATGCTACATGTACACTCACTTGATGCACATTTTTAACTATGTAATCTGATTTTTGAATTTTGTGGATTTTTATCTTTAAATGGGTCCAGATTTACGTGCCCTGGCTTCTCCGAACAGACGTGAACGTGCAATATTCCTCTGGTGTCTAGGCTGGAGTATGCTGTACAAATGAGTGCCTTTTATTTTTAATTAAATAAAATTCTTACTATGCTCACTTTCTCTAAACATTTCTGCACCCTAAAAATGTCCAAGGTGAGAGCAATGAGTTCTCTGTTCTTTAAACCTTGTGGATATACTACACCAGTAATGGCTAACCTGGCAAGATATGTTTGGGGAAACATAGCCATACACATGTGCAAGCAAGGTTTGTCATTACTGTTGTAAAAGATGACTTGTACACTAAGACTATAGTCATGGCTGGGTACCTCATTAACCAGCTAGTGGTTTTTATGGTTACGGTGGAGGGTTTTTATTTTTTTTTTTTATTTATTTATTTTTTTTTTTATTAAATGTGAAAGCACAATATTCACACCCTCCCCACTTTGCTTATTGAATGCATGATTTCTGTTGAATTAAAACCACTTGCCTACTGGGTCCACTTGGCTGAAATGTCTAAAAGGTGATTCTCTGTAGAAGTGTTCACTGGTAGAACTAAATGTTTAACAATCCTTCCAGACTTTTCAGATAAAGAAGGTGATGTTTCGATTTCTTCCTTGCTTCTGCCATCCTCCCATCTTCCTCCTTCGGCAAGGATTGTATGATTATTTTTGTTTGCTCACAAGATGGATTTGCATGTTCTTGCGTATCAGTATTTTAGAAATAGAATACTTGCACTGATTCCCACCGTTTATTTACCCTTAATTTATTTTTATATTTTTATTTTGGTATGTTCCATAAAATACGATTTTTATATTCTTAACAAGTAGCTCTTATATAATCACATTTCACCAAGAGTGGGTGAGTAGGCAACAAAAAGACTTGCTGGTGTTGCAGACCTATAGCTGTCGTAAAGGAAAGGCATCATGGGGGTTGTAGTTCTGCAACAGTCAATGGCTTTGTTTTGTCTTCCGTGCCAGAAGTGGTGGGAGGTATAGAAGTCTGCCTCCTCAAACCATTTCCACTGGTAGTTTTTTAGTTTTCTAAACAAACGTCTGAGTCTTGGCTCTTTTTTTTTTTTTGTCTATATGAAATTGACCTACTCTGAATTTAGAGGGATATTTTTGACCTTACCCTAGCTGGTTTTGAACCTAGAAGTGCTTTGTTCAGGTTTTCTGTTTCTATATTACAGTCAAATCTTTGTACACAAGTCAGGTGAAATTTGAGAGGGACAATGCACTTTATAATCACAAGAGTGAAAACTAGATCAATTTTTGTGTGGTTTTTAGAAAAAAATGTTGGGTTTTTTTTTAAAGTGAAATATAATAAAGGTAAAACATTTATGGTAATATCTTGCATAGCCTTGTTTGTGTGAGCTTATTTTTAATTAACTCTACCAAGTTTTTTTTAACTTTTTTATTTTTTTTATTCTCCCTTCTAAACACCCCACCCCTACCACCCAACACTTACGAAAGTGCTGCTAAACTACTTGGGTATTTGACTGGCTAAAGCCTGCATGTTTGGGTGTTATGGCACTTGTCTCCAAAAGTCCTGTTTTTGACCCTTAAGACTTAACTCCCATTTGTTACTTGTGTTAACCTCTTAAAGATGCTCCGTCTTGTTCAGTGATTGCTGTGCTTTATTATCCTGATGCCTGTTACTTAAAGTACCAAGTGGCATTAACACTGGTCCCTAACAAGTACATTTTTAGCTAGCTTTATTTTATAAAGCCTCTCCCTTTTTAAATGCAAGCTTATTTAATTGCTAAAACTGGATTGACATTTTGATAGACTTCTTCAAAGACTGAAGAAATCTGAGCCTGGCGGAGAGGGTGGTGTAGCACATGTTTTGGCACAGAAAAAGATCACAGAGAAATTTGCTATAACCGTTTACACTATGGTACCAGGAACTATTGGTGTATGTGTAGTGCATATTTAATGTAAAATATTTACAAATTGTGTCTTGCTTTCATACAATCTTTATTTTAGCAGAAACATTTTGTTTTCCAAGTCTCCAGGAGCAGGTAGAGGGCAACAGGATTTGCAGTTTGAAAGAAGAAATATTTACTAACTACCAATGATATTTACATTCCATTGACTTGCTCTATTGTTAAACTGTTATTCTTGGGAAATGGGACACTGTGAAAAAAATTACTATATGGTTGGATTTTTTTTTTATTTTTATTTTTTTATATCCCCTCTTTGCCTCCTATAATGCATGGATAGATCCCTAATTAGACAGAAACTTAATTAAGAATCCTCTCCCACACTCAGTTTTCTTTCCAGTAATATCCCAGTGCCAGCCATTTGTACTGCCATAACAAGCAGTAATATTCACTTTTTTTCTTGCCCTATCCATGACTGCACAGTGGCACCCAACCAAAACTCAAGAGAATGAGGAGAAACAAAAAAGTGTATTAAAGCAAAATTAGATGCAGAAGAACACTGGCCAAAATTAACATTCATCTGCTCGGCCATCAACCTGATAAAGTTTTATTAAAACTGAAGCTCATGTAGCTGCATTGCCTATCTGTTCTGGAGCCATTTTAGCTGCCACAGTCCCGGAGGAGGAATGTTATCTAGTGTAATGGACTTTTAACCCGTCAGGAACACTTGAAGCCGGTTAAGTTGTATAATGCCAGAAACAAAACGTCAGGGCTAGTTCTAAAAGTAAGTCTTATGGAATACTGTAAAGGGCTCCTAAAGAGTGCCTGAAGCTCCGATGTTCACCTTCTAGAAGTCAAGGCAACCAGCAATGCTGTGTTGATGGTGAGGAGATCTAGAGTCAAAAGGCGATATGGTTCAACAGAATACTGACAGTATATCTAGGCTAGGTGTTGTGTCACCTAATCCTACAAGATATTAACACACCTGCTGTCAGTATTTTATTAAATGATTGTTTATATGTTTGGAATAATGATGGCTTGTTACAGGAATTCATGTCCATCTTTAATTGATTTGTAATTTCAATCCATGGCTTACAGCATTTACTATGGTGAAATGTATGCTACATCTCAGGAGCCTTTTTTTTTTTATTTTAATGGGGCACACTTATCAAAATATGATTCAGTTATGCCCTTATACAAATATAATAATAAAATAATTTTAGAAACACCTTGTTACCCATTTAATGGTTGGTAAGAGCCAAAACATGGACCCTCAGAATATTATAACTCAAACCTTTGTCCTGATTATATTGAAGAAACGCCAGGATGTTAGCAGTAGAGGGACTCTGAATATTCACTTGCTAGGAAGAGCTCAAGAAGAGAAGGCATGCTATTTTCTATAAAGTGGTGGGGAAAAAAGTGTCCCCTAATTATGAAATATAAAAAGGCACACCCCCCCTTGCTCCATTAAGCTGGGTGATAAATCTGTCATAAGCATATGGAATTCTTGGTAGATTAAATACAACTGGCCTTTCCACCTCAGATTGTCCACTTCTTCAGGGTTGGGATAATTCATATTCTCTACGAGGTCTATAATATCTGTTGCCTTTTAAAGGAAGAGTAATCAGAAGATCATTTTGGCTCAAAATGATCTGTGCCTACGATCTTGAGGCAGAAAAACTTTCCTACCTTCTGTCGTGCTCTCGATGTACTGATTTCTCTTCTTGATATAGGTGCTTTCCAAAAAAAGGAAGCGCGCAGAGATTGTTATTGGAGTAGCCAGCTGCAGAGCAAGATGTAAACAATAGAGCCGTCCTAGCAGAAACGAGAGAGAACCGTATTCCTGGCTAAGGTTTTAACTAGATCAGTTTTAATATTCTGAGGTCCACTGCAAGCTTAACGGGACACTATAGTTACCATAACAACTACAGCTTCATGTAGTTGTTCTGGTGAGTATAAGCATTGCCTTTAGGCCTTCTTCCATACACAAGGCAGTGTTTACCTTGCCCCTAGGGACACCTCCAAGTTGCCACTCCTTAGATGGTCACTGGACGTGCTTCCTGGGGCAGTGCTTCTCAGTAGGCAGCACTGCCGTTCAGCGTCTCCACACTCTGCATGGGGATGCTGAATTTTCCTCATAGGAGAGATTCATCTGTATGAAGAAGTGCTGATTGGCAAAAACGGTGTTTGGCCCTGCCCTCATCCTGCCTCTTTGCCGATTTAGTGCATTGGATAAAAATTGTCAATTCTGATGTCATCAAGGAGGCAGATGCGGCAGCCTGCGCTGCACTGGAAATAAGGTGAGTTTTAATTCCTTTTAAGGGGGGGCAAGCCACCTCAATGGTGGGTTTAACACTATAGGTTTAGGAATACATGTTTGTGTTCCTGACCCGCTGTTCCTTTACTGTCTTGCAAGCTGTCAATAATGGAAGAAAGACTATCATCTCTAATATATTTTTCCAAATTTGCTATCCAGAAGTTAGGGCCACAACATCAATGCTTGGTCACCCTTACAACAATGGCATCGTCCTTCGGAGAAGAGTCCCAAAAACAAGCATCAGTTTTATAAAAAGGCGTAAAGACGAGAACTTATACTTTGCTGTCAGCTGTTTCTCTGTCTAAAAACCATTCCTCATGAATAAGATCCTTAATGGTGTCATATACAGGGAAGATAATGCGTATCTTCCTGAGATCCATGAAATGGCAGCTAGAAGTAGAAGACTACTTCTTTAGGAGATTCTCTTATGAAAATATTTATGTACCTTGAGATTAAATGATCCACACAAGCTGGGTGCAGGTAATCAGGAGTGGGTTGAATGGACCCATCTGCAGAATAGGCTATTTTTTCGTTTGCATAACTTCCATAGATTTCTATGATTATGTATATATTACACATGAATCCGGTTTGCTTGGTCTTTTGCAAGCTTTATGGGACTACTTGATACCTTGGGAAACCGCCATGTTTATTAATCAGTGTGAATTATTGGGAATCCAAAGCATTGGGGTTAGAAAGGCAAGGCTGTATTGCTCACACTACCGTGTCCCACATCACTTCACCCCCTCCCCCTCTTTTCCAATCAAATATCAAGAGCGTAAAAGTCCTCTAACCACTTACCTGATTCCAGCACCAAGGTCCATCGTTCCTGGCTCTGTCTCTGCCTCCTACTACGCAAAGCTGGATGTGCTCACGCAAAGTTTGAGTAAGTCCAGTGTCGTTTCACAGAGTTAAACTCTTGTGTTAATGCAGGAAGCACCTGGTGATTTATATTGTTGGGTTAAGGAACAGACTATTTCAGTGTAGTGCCTACAGTGTCTTTTTAAAAGGGACACTAGCTGTAGTGGATATTGTCCCCTTGCACCCCCACCCCCCATATTTCCTTATGAAATTTGTCAAATTGTTTTAGAGTGGATTGATTTCTTAACTGCGTCATTTGGGTGCCCCCTCTCTACCTCTCAACTTTCTGGCTGAGAGTCAAAGGCTGCAGGGCTTCGCTCAGAAAGCAAACAGAAGGATCTGGCTCCCAGCCAGGAGCAAGGCAGACTCTGAGCCCAGGTAGGAAGCTAAATTATTTTAAAATGGTTTGACTACACTGTGAGGGTGTGTGCACGCTGCATGCTATACCGGTTCTAGTGCTTGGACTGTTCCTTTTAACTGGAATTATGACATTGGTAAAGATCCCTTAATAAAACCATGTTGAGCTGGTGCTTATTGGTTATTAGGTAACTGATGTTGACAGGTAACATTGTAAACTAGCAGAGCAAGTTTTTATGTGGTACTATTTAAATAGATCTTGGTTTAAATGAAATATGATTTGAATGTTATATAGAACAAAGTGATTTGATTATGTTGGGGGGAGGGGATAGCATTTGACTTACCTTATTTCCCCTGGCACAGCTCCACTGATCAACCAGTTTAATGCTTCGGCATAGGAAGAATAATGCACAGGCCCTAGAAGAAAAAAATGCATCAACTTATAGAGCTGCATTGACTCAATGCATCTGTATAGGGAAGCTCTTGGTGTCTTCATGCATACTGTGGAACACCGAGAACTGGTCCTGCCATCTTTGCAGGACAGCAGCCAGAAAGCCGTTCTAGTGGCTGTTTGAGTGAGAGCCAATAGAGGTGGTGTTACACAGAAATGGCTGTGTTTACACCTCTGAACCTTTTGGGGTAACCGCTTTGCCCCCCAGGAACACTACATTAAACTGTTATGGTACTGGTGCCTAAGTGTCTTTCTAACTACATGTAGAACTAGATTAGCTGTGCGTTTTTAAGATTTCATTCACCTCCTTTTAAAGGGACATTCAAAGTATGAAATTTTATTTAGCTTAAAAGGACACGGTATGCCTTATAACTCACTGAAGTGGCTGGCACCATCTTTCTGTTCAGTGTTAAACTATCTCTAAAATTGTAATGCTATATGAGAGTACCTATCAACTTTGTGCTGCTCGTGCTAATGAGGAAGAATCATCCTGAGTAGCAGTGGGTAGCTGTGAGAGTCAACTGACCTCTTTTAGCCTATCACAGTGCCCGTTCAGGTATGAATTGGTATGGCTATAAGGAAGTTTGTAATCTCTGCTTTAGCTACATCTTCAGTAGGGTTGGGCTAGGGGAAGCCAGGGACTCTCATTCAGTGTTTAACTGCTCGGAAATTATTTAACATTAAATGGAGGGACAGAGACAGCAGGGCTGGTTTTCCCATTAGCCAGAGTAGGCACTTGACCACTGGGGGCACCTGTATTCAGCACTTATAGAGTGCCTTTTTGAGGCTGGTGGGGAGAGATAAGTACCAGGAGCCTTGGTCAGTGTCCTTTGTTGTCCAGTCAGCTGTAGTAGCAGAGCTAAAGGAACAGTTATTGAGCATGTAAAACTCTGTACTGTCCCACCTCCTCCGGTGTCTGAACGTGAGGCTGGAAACGTAGATTAAGGCATCACTTTCCATATGCACACAGAAAATGCCTTGCTGGTGGAGCAGGGGGAGCTCTGAGTGCTGCACACTGTATAATAGCTCCTGTAACTCTAATATCTTCAATCTGACTGGTCTACAGAAGAGGGTGAGTACTTTGCAAATAACCCTTCAAACTCCAGCACTCAAAGCCTAAACCTGAAAATAAACCATTTACTTTAATCCTATGTTTAACTCCTCTTAAAAACTAAACGTATGTACCCCAATACTAAATTTAACTCCACTCTAGCCCTAAACTCAATAATCCTAAACAGCCCTTATACTACAACTAAACCCCCCCAAACTGTTAATCTTCTTAACCCTAAACCCCCCATGTGAACTAACTCTGATGTTAACCCCTCTCTAACCTTAACCCCCTCTTTACCCTAACCACTTATAACATTATCTGTAACCCTGCGTACATTTACACAGCTGCATACACTCACTATACTGAGACTCAAACACATGACTGCTGACTCCTTCGATCAACAAATCCCATTACCCTTCCATTCCCAATAAGTAACACAACACCATGTTAACTGGGTAAGGGCAATGGCCACAGCTTTATTTAAACCAGCACAACCAAATACTGTCAGCTGCTGGTTTTACCCAGTACACAGGTACACTTTAAACTTCTCCCAGGGCCACTTCAGCCTGTCCTTCGTCATAAACCAAATTCAGGCTGCGACTCCCTAAGCCCGTCAGGGCATTAATCATTTACCAAACTCGCTGGCGCAGGAAACACGCAGCTGTGACAAAATTAAAAACAGAGAAAACAAAACACAACAATTTCAGAACAGAACCATTAGAGAGTGTGGGTGGGGAAAGACACCCCTCAGGGCAGCAGTCATGCTCCCCCCCCTCCCTATTCGCTCTGGGGGTTGGCCTATACATTACAAGCAAACATATACACACACATACATATGCAGTTGTCAAATATAAATATGTTGTTTAGATGCCTTAGGCCTGCAATGTCCAGTTAATTATACTTAATCTGCCTTATTTTTGGGATTGGGGAGCAGGGCACGCCTTAGAGTTTTGTGCCTAAAATGTAAATCCAGCTCTGAGTGCCAGAGCACATCAGGCACTGTGCCCAATTCAATGAGATTAAAGTGTACCTTTTAATTAGGCAGTTATGGTGTGTAGATCATGTTCCTGCAGTCTCGTAGCCACACCTACCCCCAACTGTGGCTTACACAGTCTGCATGGGAAAAAAATGGTCTCACTTTTAATCAGCTCTTACAGTGCAGTATGCTTTTACATTGGTTCTTATCTCCTGCTTTGGTAACTCCTTCCTGATATTAGGACTTGCTACATCGTAGTGATCTAGCCCAAATACTTACCCTATACCAACAGCTTAATGTAGTGGTTCTGGTGGCTATAGCTTGTCCCTGCAGGCTTTTCAATATAAACAGTGTGCAGCACACACGTTCAGCATCTCCAAGCTCTGCATGGAGGCTCTGAATATTCCTTATAGAGATTAATTAAATCGTTCTCTGTGAGGAGATGCTGTGTTTTGCTGCTCAATGGCAAAGCATTAGCTAAGATTGATCATCTCAGCCACGGATGTTGAACCAGCCGTGGCGTAACTGGCACAGCGTGGGAATAAAGGGCCGTAAAAACACCTTTCTCATGCGATTTGGAGGGGGCAGGTACCTAATCAGAGATATATACACATACACACACACACTCAAACATACAGTATCTCACAAAAGTTAGTACACCCCTCACATTTTTGTAAATATTTTATTATATCTTTTCATGTGACAACAGTGAAGAAATGACACTCTGCTACAATGTCCCCTAAAAAAAACCTCGACACGCAGCCATTAATGTCTAAACCGTTGGCAACAAAAGTGAGTACACCACTAAGTGGAAATGTCCAAATTGTCAATATTTTGTGTGGCCACCATTATTTTCCAGCACTGCCTTAAAGGACCACTCTAGGCACCCAGACCACTTCAGCTTAATGAAGTGGTCTGGGTGCCAGGTCCAGCTAGGATTCACACATTTTTTCATAATTATAGCAGTTTCAGAGAAACTGCTATAATTATGAATGGGTTAAGCCTTCCCCCTAATCCTCTAGTGGCTGTCTCATTGACAGCCACCAAGAGGCGCTTGCGTGCTTCTCACTGTGATTTTCACAGTGAGAGCACGCAAGCGTCCATAGGAAAGCATTATGAATGCTTTCCTATGTGACCGGCTGAATGCGCGCGCATTCAGCCGACGGGGCGGAGAGCTCTCCACCCAGCGCTGGAAAAAGGTAAGTTATTACTCCTTTCTCCCTTCCAGAGCCGGGCGGGAGGGGGTCCCTGAGGGTGTGGGCACCCTCAGGGCACTATAGTGCCAGGAAAACGAGTGTTTTCCTGGCACTATAGTGGTCCTTTAACCCTCATGGACATGGAGTACACCAGAGCTTCACTGGTTGCCACTGGAGTCCTCTTCCACTCCTCTATGACGACATCACGGAGCTGGTGGATGTTAGAGACCTTGCGCTCCCCCACCTTCCGTGTGAGGATGCCCCATAGATGCTCAATAGGGTTTAGGTCTGGAGACATGCTTGGCCAGTCCATCACCTTTACCTTCAGCTTCTTAGCAAGGCAGTGGTCGTCTTGGAGGTATGTTTGAGGTCATTATCATATTGGAATATTGCCCTACCCTGCGGCCCAGTCTCTGAAGGGAGGGGATCATACTGCTTCAGTATGTCACAGTACATGTTGACATTCATGGTTCCCTTAATGAACTGTAGCTCCCCAGTGCCGGCAGCACTCATGCAGGACCAGGCCAGGACACTCCCACCACGATGCTTGACTGTAGGCAAGACACACTTGTCTTTGTACTCCTCACCTGGTTGCCACCACACACACTTGACACCATCTGAACCAAATACGTTTATCTTGGTCTCATTGGACTACAGGACCAAGTCTGCTTGCCTTCAGCAAACTGTTTGCAGGCTTTCTTGTGCATCATCTTTAGAAGAGGCTTTATTTTGGGACCACAGCCATGCAGACCAATTTGATGCAGTGTGCGACGTATGGTCTATGCACTGACAGGATGACCCCCCACCAGGGCCGGACTGGCCCACCAGGATACCGGGAAATTTCCCGGTGGGCCGTCGGCACCTGGGGCCGGGCAGGCAGCTGGCTCTTCTGGCGGCCACAGGGAGAGCTGGCTGTTCTGTCTCTGCCCCCCTGCCACAG